TATCTTTGTTCTCCAGATAACGTGAATAATGTATCTACGTTATCCAGATAATATGGATAATGTATCTACGTTATCCAGATAACGTGGATAATGTATCTACGTTATTCAAACAACGTGGATAATGTATCTACGTTATCCAGATAATATGGATATTGTATCTACGTTATCCAGATAACGTGGATAATGTATCTACGTTATCCAGATAATATGGATAATGTATCTACGTTATCCAGATAACGTGGATAATGTATCTACGTTATTCAAACAACGTGGATAATGTATCTACGTTATTCAAACAACGTGGATAATGTATCTACGTTATTCAAACAACGTGGATAATGTATCTACGTTATCCAGATAATATGGATAATGTATCTACATTATTCAAACAACGTGAATAATGTATCTACGTTATCCAGATAATATGGATAATGTATCTACGTTATCCAGATAACGGATATAATGCATCTATGTTATCCATATAACGTGGATAATGTATCTTTGTTCTCCAGATAACGTGGATAATGTATCTACGTTATCCGGATAATGTGGATAATGTATCTACGTTACCCAGATAACGTGGATAATGTATCTACTTTATCCGGACAACGTGGATACTGTATCTACGTTATCCAGATAACGTGGATCATGTATCTATGTTATCCAGATATGGTGGATAATGTATCTGTGTTATCCAGATAACGGATATAATGTATCTGTGTTATCCAGATAACGGATATAATGTATATTTTTTATCCAGATAACGTAGATAATGTATCTATGTTATCCAGACAACGTAGATAATGTATCTATGTTATCCATATAACGTGGATAATGTATCTATGTTCTCCAGATAACGAGGATAATCTATCTATGTTATCCAGATAGCGTGGATAATCTATCTATGTTATCCAGATAACGTGGATAATCTATCTATGTTCTTCACATAACGTGGATAATGCATCTGCGTTATCAGATAACGTGGAAAATGTATCTATGTTATCCAGATAACGTGGATAATGCATCTATGTTATCCAAATAGCGCAGATAATGTATCTATGTTATCCAAATAGCGTATATAATTTATCTATTTTAGCCAATCAAAGTGGATAACTTATCTCCGTTGTCAAAACAACGTGGATAATTTATCATTTTTATCCAAATCTCTTAACTTCTTAAATTCCATTATTTAAACATTTTCCCCCCTCTCTCTCTTCTCTCTTTACAGCAACATTTTGCCCGACAACCTTAAATACCTGCATGTCAAACAGGCCTTGGCCGATTTGGCCCATTTCATTGAACACAAACGTGAAACGGTTCCCGCTTTGGCCAATGCCAAGGTAATCATGGCTGGTGGTTCCTATTCGGCCACAATGGTGGTGTGGTTCAAGAAACTCTATCCCCAGTTGTTGACTGGTGGTTGGGCTTCTTCGGCTCCAATTTTGGCCAAGGTCGACTTCTTCGAATACAAAGAAGTTGTGGGCAAGGCATTGAGGGAATTGGGTTCGGAACAGTGTTATAAACGTGTTGAAAATGGCGTTGCCGAACTGCAGGCCATGATCACCGGAAAACGTTCCGCGGAAGTTAAGGCCATGTTGAAATTGTGTAATTCATTCGATCATCACAATGATTTGGATTTGTGGTCATTGTTCGGTTCCATTTCGAATATTTTCTCCGGCATTGTGCAATATCAATCGTAAGTTTGTCCCTAACGAATAATTGGACTGAAAGCTTTTAAAAGTTTTAATACGATTTTTACAGTGAAGGAGATGTCCCCTACTATTGTGACTATCTAATGTCATTCGATGATGATTTGACGGCCATTTCCAATTTCTTCTTGTGGTCGGTGGGTGTTACCTCAGGTTGTGCTGATGTCAGTTACAAGAGTACCTTGGCCTATTATTTGGATAGCACCTATGCTAACGGGGCTTGTAAGTAAAAGGGAATCTATTTAAAAACAAAAACAACTCAAATTCTACTTCTCTTCCCCCAGCCCGTCCCTGGTATTATCAAACCTGCAATGAATACGGCTGGTATCAATCCTCCGGTTCGCCCAACCAACCCTTTGGCAGCAAATTCCCTGCCACCCTATACACGACATTGTGTGCCGACATCTTTGGCCAGAAATACTCGAATGAACACATCCATGAGCTGGTCGCTCAAACCAATGAAGATTTTGGCGGTTTGAATCCCGAAGTTGAAAATGTCTACATGACTCACGGTGCCTTGGATCCCTGGAGTGCTATGGGTCATGGCGAGGAAGAGGGTGCCTCTGTTATTCCCAGAGCTTCTCATTGTGCCGATTTCGGTTCGATTAGCAGTGGTGATAGCGCTGAAATGCGTGCATCCAAGGAGAAGTTGCTCGAATTGGTTCGAGAATGGTTGAAATAGAAATTCTCAGAAATTTCGGATAAGAATCCAACTATTTTTTTACAACAACAATAAAATTAAATAATAAAAAAAAATATTGGGTTATTTTTTTAATTCAAGTATTGGCACTAGACTCTATTAAAGTATCCATATTATCCAAATGTATCTATGTTATGCAGATAACGTGGATAATGTATCTATGTAATCCAGATAACGTATCTATGTTATCCAGATAACGTGGATAATGTATCTTTGTTATTCAGATAACGTGGATAATGTATCTTTGTTATCCAGATAACGTGGATAATGTATCTATGTTATGCAGATACTGTGAATAACGTATCTATGCTATCCGTATAACGTGGATAACGTATCTGTTATCCAGATAACGTGGATAATGCATCTATGTTATCCAGATAACGTGGATAATGTATCTATGTCATCTAGATAACGTGGATAATCTATCTATGTTATCCAGATAGATTATCCACGTTATCTAGATGACATAGATACATTATCCACGTTATCTGGATAACATAGATGCATTATCCACGTTATCTGGATAACAGATACGTTATCCACGTTATAAGGATAACATAGATACGTTATCCACGGTATCTGGATAACATAGATATATTATTCACGTTATTTTTTACAACAGAGATATATTATCCACGTTATTTGGATAACATAGACATATTATTCACGTAATCTGGATAACAGATACGTTATCCACGTTATACGGATACATAGATACATTTTCCACGTTATCTATGTTATCCAGATAACGTGGAAAATGTATCTATGTATCCGTATAACGTGGATAACGTATCTGTTATCCAGATTACGTGAATAATATGTCTATGTTATCCAAATAACGTGGATAATATATCTCTGTTGTAAAAAATAACGTGAATAATATATCTATGTTATCCAGATACCGTGGATAACGTATCTATGTTATCCTTATAACGTGGATAACGTATCTGTTATCCAGATAACGTGGATAATGCATCTATGTCACCTAGTTAACGTGTAGTATGTATCTAAGTTATCCACATAACGTGGATAATGTATCTACGTTATCCAGATAACATGCATAATCTACGTTATCCAGATAACGTGGATAATGTATCTATATAATCCAGATAATGTATCTATGTTATCCAGATAACGTAGATAATATATCTATGTTATCCAGATAACGTAGATAATATATCTATGTTATCTAGATAAGGTGGATAATATATCTATGTTATCTAGATGTATCTATGGTATCCAGATAACGTGGATAATTTATCAATGTCATCTAGTTAACGTGGATAATGTATCTATGCTACCAGATAAGATAGATAATGTATGTTTGTTATCCAGATAGAGTGGATAATGTATCTACGTTATCCAGATAACGAAGATAATATATCTATGTTATCCAGATACCGTGGATAATGTATCTGCGTTATACAAATAACGTGGATAATGCATCTATGATATCCAGATAACATGGATAATGTATCTATGTTATACAGATAACGTGGATAATGTATCTTCGTTATCCAGATAACGTGGATAATGTATCTATGTCATCTAGATAACGTGGATAATCTATCTATGCTACCAGATAAGGTAGATAATGTATCTTTGTTATCCAGATAACGTGGATAATGTATCTATGTCATCTAGATAACGTGGATAATCTATCTATGCTACCAGATAAGGTAGATAATGTATCTTTGTTATCCAGATAACGTGGATAATGTATCTATGTCATCTAGATAACGTGGATAATCTATCTATGCTACCAGATAAGGTAGATAATGTATCTTTGTTATCCAGATAACGTGGATAATGTATCTATGTCATCTAGATAACGTGGATAATCTATCTATGCTACCAGATAAGGTAGATAATGTATTTTTGTTATCCAGATAACGTGGATAATGCATCTATGCTATCTAGATAACATGGATAATGTATCTATGTTATCACACAACACGGATAATCTATCTATGTTATCCAGATATCGTTAATAATGTATCTATGTTATCCATATAACGTGGATAATGTATCTATGTTATCCAGATAACGTACATAATATATCTATGTTATCCAGATGTATCTATGGTATCCAGATAATGTGGATAATGCATCTATGTTACCCAGTAGTGTCTATGGTATCTAGATAACGTGTATAATGTATCTATTTTATCCAGATAACGTGATTGATTTGCCTTTGTTATCCAAAAACGTAGATAATGTGTCTATGTTATCTAGATGACGTGGATAATGTACCTATGTTATCCTGATTACGTGAAAAATGTATCTATCTTATCTAGATAAAGTGGATAATTTATCTATGTTTTCCACATGAATCTATTTTATCCAGATACATATTTAAACCGCTAATCATCCCTTTGGACATTCTTATAGATTTCACCATTTGCAAAATATGTTGACGCAAACAAATTTTTCACTCAAACATAAATAAAACTTTAGCTGCTCCCGCTAATTTTAGAATGACAGTATCGGGAAAAATCTCGCCAAAATAAATCATGCCACTTATCTACTGCGGTCTTAGATTAAAAGAAAACGACCTCACCCCAATGAATCCCCTATAAATAAGTTCGAACGCAGTCTAGTATAGGACTTTGAAAAATGAAGGTAACATTGTGGCTGGTGGGAGTATTGGCTCTGGCAGGATTAGCCAGAGGATATTATTTGAAACAAGCGGAGGGTGTGACGGAAAATATTCCGATTTTCATTAAAACCCTAAAGGAATTACATAGAGGCCCACCCAAATTGGCTGTGCCCAGAGCCAATGTGAAAACCGAATGGATTACCCAAAAATTGGATCCTTTCGACAGCAAGGAAGAACGAACATGGCAAATGGTAAGTGGATAGGGTGGTATGGAGAATTAGATGGTGGATAATGATTAAACCTTTGGTCTGATCCCCTAGCGTTACATGGTAAACGATGAGTATTTCAAACCAGGCGGTCCCATGTTCATTTATGTTGGCGGTGAATGGGACATTGATCCGAGTGGCATTAGTGGTGGTATTTTTGTGGATTTGGCCAAGGAACATAATGGCATACTTTTCTATACCGAACATCGTTATTATGGTGAAAGTAAACCAACAAAGTAGGCGTATTGAGTTATCCTACAACAAAAAAAAAATGATTCTAAAAATGTCCAAATCTTCTTTGCAGAGATTTGCAATTGGAAAACATGAAGTACTTGCATGTCAAACAGGCCCTGGCTGATCTGGCCCATTTCATTGAGTACAAGCGTGAAACCGTATCGGAATTGGCCAACTCCAAAGTCATAATGGCGGGAGGCTCATATTCCGCCTCCATGGTTGTTTGGTTCAAGAAACTCTATCCTCATCTTTTGAATGGTGGTTGGGCTTCGAGTGCTCCCCTCTTGGCCAAGGTGGATTTCACCGAATACATGGAAGTTGTCGGCAAGGCAATGCGTGTTTTGGGCAGCCAACAGTGTTATGATCGCATACAGAATGGTATTGCCGAATTGGAAGTCATGATCAGGGGTAAAAAATCGGCCCAGGTTAAGGCTATGCTGAAACTATGTAATAATTTCAATACAAATAACGATTTGGACATATGGACAATGTTTAGTAGTTTTGCGTATATTTTTGCCGGTGTGGTGCAATATCAGAGGTATAGTGGAATCTGTTCGGAGATTGGATTTTTATTTAAGTCATGGATTCTCTTCTTTTTCCAGAGGTGATGATGTTCCTGCCTACTGTGATTATTTAATGAGTTTTAAGGATGATGTCACGGCCTTATCGAATTTATGGGTGTGGTATTATGGTTACTATGGAGGATGTGTTGATGCCACATACAATGGTACTTTGGCTTATTACTTGGATACCTCGTACTATTATGAATGGGGTAAGTTGAAACTATTTTATTCACACTATTTGAATAATCAACACACACTTTCCGCGTATTTTGGATAATGTTGATACATTATCCGAAGTATTTGGATAATATGTATATATTATCCATGTTATTTGGATAATGTAGATGCATTTTCACACACCACACCATTTGGATAACGTAGATACATTATCCACACTATTATGATAGAGTACATACATTATCAACACCATTTGAATAACGTAGACACATTATCCACGTTATGTGGATAACTTAGATACATTATCCACACACGTAGACACATTATCCACGTTATGTGGATAACTTAGATACATTATCCACACACGTAGATACATTATCCACGTTATGGGGATAACGTAGATCATTATCCACACTATTTGGATAACGTAGATACATTATCCACGCTATTTGGATAACGTAGATACATTATCCACACTAGTTAGATAATGTAGATACATTATCCACACTAGTTAGATAATGTAGATACATTATCCACACCATTTGGATAACGTAGATACATTATCCACGTTATGTGGATAACGTAGATACATTATCCACGTTATGTGGATAACGTAGATACATTATCCACACAATTTAGATAATGTAGATACATTATCCACACTATCTGGATAGTGTAGATACATTATCCACACCATTTGGATAACGTAGATACATTATCCACGTTATGTGGATAACGTAGATACATTATCCACACAATTTAGATAATGTAGATACATTATCCACACTATCTGGATAGTGTAGATACATTATCCACACTATTTTGATAGTGTTTATACATTATCCACACTATTTTGATAGAGTACATACATTATCAACACCATTTGAATAACGTAGACACATTATTCACGTTATGTGGATAACTTAGATACATTATCCCCACACGTAGATACATTATCCACGTTATTTGGATAACGTAGATACATTATCCACAATGTTTGGACAACGTAGATCATTATCCACACTATTTGGATAACGTAGATACATTATCCACGCTATTTGGATAACGTAGATACATTATCCACACTAGTTAGATAATGTAGATACATTATCCACACCATTTGGATAACGTAGATACATTATCCACGTTATGTGGATAACGTAGATACATTATCCACGTTATGTGGATAACGTAGATACATTATCCACACTATTTGGATAACGTAGATACGTTATCCACACTAGGTAGATAATGTAGATACATTATCCACACACTTTAGATAATGTAGATACATTATCCGCACCATTTAGATAATGTAGATACATTATTCACACTATTTTGATAGAGTAGATACATTATCAACACTATTTGAATAACGTAGATACATTATCCACGTTATGTGGATAACGTAGATACATTATCCACGTTATTTGGATAACGTAGATACATTATCCACGTTATTTGGATAACGTAGATACATTATCCACACTATTTGGATGACGTAGATACATTATCCACGTTATGTGGATAACGTAGATACATTATACACACTATCTGGATAGTGTAGATACATTATCCACACTATTTGTATAACGTAGAATGTATCTACGTTATGTGTATAACGTAGATACATTATCCACACTATTTGGACAACGTAGATACATTATCCACACTACGTTATTCACACCATTTGGATAACGTAGATACATTATCCACACTAGTTAGATAATGTAGATACATTATCCACACACTTTAGATAATGTAGATACATTATCCGCACTATTTAGATAATGTAGATACATTATCCACACTATTTTGATAGAGTAGATACATTATCCACACCATTTGGATAACGTAGATACATTATCCACGTTATGTGGATAACGTAGATACATTATCCACGTTATGTGGATAACGTAGATACATTATCCACACTATTTGGATAACGTAGATACGTTATCCACACTAGGTAGATAATGTAGATACATTATCCACACAATTTAGATAATGTAGATACATTATCCACGTTATGTGGATAACGTAGATACATTATCCACTTTATTTGGATAACGTAGATACATTATCCACGCTATTTGGATAACGTAGATACATTATCCACAATGTTTGGACAACGTAGATCATTATCCACACTATTTGGATAGCGTAGATACATTATCCACGCTATTTGGATAACGTAGATACATTATCCACACTAGTTAGATAATGTAGATACATTATCCACACCATTTGGATAACGTAGATACATTATCCACGTTATGTGGATAACGTAGATACATTATCCACGTTATGTGGATAACGTAGATACATTATCCACGCTATTTGGATAACGTAGATACGTTATCCACACTAGGTAGATAATGTAGATACATTATCCACACAATTTAGATAATGTAGATACATAATCCACGTTACGGGGATAACGTAGATACATTATCCACACTATTTGGAAAACGTAGATACATTATCCACACTATCTGGATAGTGTAGATACATTATCCACACTATTTTGATAGTGTAGATACATTATCCACACTATTTGTATAACGTAGATACATTATCCACGTTATGTGGATAACGTAGATACATTATCCACACTTTTTGGAAAACGTAGATACATTATCCACGTTATGTGTATAACGTAGATACATTATCCACACTATCTGGATAGTGTAGATACATTATCCACATTATTTGGATAACGTAGATACATTATCCACACTATTTGTATAACGTAGATACATTATCCACGTTATGTGGATAACGTAGATACATTATCCACACTATTTGGATAACGTAGATACATTATCCACACTAGTTAGATAATGTAGATACATTATCCACACCATTTGGATAACGTAGATACATTATCCACACTATGTGGATAACGTAGATACATTATCCACACTATTTGGATAACGTAGATTCATTATCCACACTATCTGGATAGTGTAGATACATTATCCACACTATTTGGATAACGTAGATACATTATACACACTATTTGTATAACGTATATACATTATCCACGTTATGTGGATAACATAGATACATTATCCACACTTTTTGGAAAACATAGATACATTATCCACGTTATGTGTATAACGTAGATACATTATCCACACTATCTGGATAGTGTAGATACATTATCCACACTATTTGTATAACCTATATACATTATCCACGTTATGTGGATAACGTAGATACATTATCCACAATATTTGGATAACGTAGATACATTATCCACACTATTTAGATAACGTAGATACATTTTCCACACCTTTTGGATAATGTAGATACATTATCCACACTATTTGGATAACGTAGATAGATTATCCACGTTATTTCAATAACGTAGATACATTATCCACACTATTTGGATAACGTAGATACATTATCCACACTATTTGGATAACGTAGATACATTATCCACACTATCTGGATAGTGTAGATACATTATCCACACTATTTGTATAACGTAGATACATTATCCACAATATTTGGATAACGTAGATACATTATCTACACTATTTGTATAATGTAGATACATTATCCACACTATTTGGATAACGTAGATACATTATCCACACTAGTTAGATAATGTAGATACAGTATCTACACTATTTGGATAATGTAGATACATTATTCACATAATTTGCTACATTATCTACATCCTCCATATCTTTTTGGATATCCGAGATACATTACTAATATTATCCGTTTAATATTTCTTTCACTCCAGCCCGTCCCTGGTACTATCAAACCTGCAACGAATATGGCTGGTATCAGACATCCGGATCGAAGAATCAACCATTTGGTAGCAGTTTTCCGGTGGCCCTCTCCACCGAATTGTGTCGCGATGCTTACGATGCAAGTTATACCGATTCGAAGATACAAGAACTAATCAATGGGACCAATGAATTCTTTGGTGGCATGAAACCGGATGTGGAAAATATTTACATGACCCATGGCGAATTGGATCCATGGAATCCCATGGGACATGGTGTAGCTGAGGGTGCAACCATTATACCCAACGCTTCGCATTGTAATGATTTCGGTTCCATTAGTTCGTCGGATAGTGTAGAGATGCGTCAGTCCAAGGAAAGTTTGACAGAATTGGTGCGTGAATGGTTGAGAGATTAAAGTGTGTGTGAAAGAAAATACGAAAATAAAATGAAGAAAAGAATTTCAAAATTCCAAAGATGAATCATTTCTTTACTTGACTTACAAAATTCCCTAGAATTCATTGAAGATCTGGGAATCCACTGAATGATCCAAATACATATTAATTGAAGCCATGTTCGCCATGTTAGTTTAATTTTATTGGCCACATTAACAACGTGCCGACAATACTAATCGGACATTCGATCATCCTCTCGACAAATTATTATGCATGCCGAAGACGAGGCTACATGTCGATATTTAAAAAACATTTGCAAACAACATTTCAGATTTGCTTTTTTCGGAGGCGATATTTGTGTAACTCTTTAGCGAGATTTATGACAATTTATTGAGCGGAGCCACCAAAAAAAAAAGAGACAACCACGGAGATCCTTTGTCATATTCCCAATTATTCGATTAAATACCAGAAGCTATTTAAATATGCCAGGCATGTTATCAGATCACCCATCAAAGCTGTTGAGAGACAGCGAGAGATAGACAGACGTCTCAAAGAAAAAAAAACGAATTGTGGGAGAGGAGTGGAAAACGTAATTTGTTGTTTTTAAAGATGATTTCACTTAACAAAAATTGCCACATTGGAGATGTTACCGTCTTCGTCGGCCTCAACGCCGGGAAGATAGACAAATGTCAAATGCATGTTTGTGGTTATTCATCGGGATTTATCTTGATCTTACCGGCGCACATACATCAAATGACATTGAAATAAAAATTTGTTTAAATCTTGTCAAAACATGATTTAAAACTTTGCAAATTGTGTTCACACCAGTTAAAACCTTTGGGCACATAGTGGCTTGGCCATCATCGTCATCATCATCATCGATGCAGCAGGGATGGAAATTTGCAATTTATAACAAGAGAACATTTTACAAGATTTTATATTCACAAAAGGATACCAGTTTAAGGACTCCTGCTTAAAGGAGACCCTTTTAAGTTTTTTTTTTATTCATAGAACACCTGTTAAGAACCTTCTGTTCATAGGACATACCTAGAAGACCTCAGGAGAAATGTTGTATCCACAGGAGATCCGTTGAAGATCGGTATTCTGTTCATCGGAGATCTGTTAAAGGTCGTATATCCATAGGAAAACTGTTGTCTATTTATAGAAGACCTACTTAAGGTCTTCTTTTCATAGGAGACCTGCTTTAAGGTATTTTATAAAGAGGAGATATTTTAAGATCTTCTTGAAAGAGAAGACCCTTCAACGGTCTTCTATAAGCAGAAGACTTTTCAAGGTCTTCTATAGACAGAAGACCTTTTAAGGTCTTCTATAGACAGAAGACCTTTTAAGGTCTTCTATAGACAGAAGACCTTTTAAGGTCTTCTATAGACAGAAGACCTTTCAAGGTCTTCTATAGCGAGAAGACCTTTTAAGGTCTTCTATAGCGAGAAGACCTTTTAAGGTCTTCTATAGCGAGAAGACCTTTTAAGGTCTTCTATAGCGAGAAGACCTTTTAAGGTCTTCTATAGCGAGAAGACCTTTTAAGGTCTTCTATAGCGAGAAGACCTTTTAAGGTCTTCTATAGCGAGAAGACCTTTTATGGTCTTCTATATAGAGAAGACTTTTTAAGTTCTTCTATCTTCTGTTGAGACCTTTTTAGGGTCTTCTATAGACAGAAGACCTTTCCATGTCTTCTATGGACAGAATACCTTTCAAGGTCTTCAATAGAGAGAAGACCTTTCAAGGTCTGCTATAGAGATAAGACCTTTCAAGTTCTTCTATCTTCTGTTGAGACGTTTTTAGGGTCTTCTATACCGAGAAGACCTTTCAAGGTCTTCTATAGCGAGAAGACCTTTCAGGGTCTTCTACATAGAGAGAAAAAAACTCTCAAGGTCTTCTATAGACAGAAAAGACCTTTTAAGGTCTTCTATAGCGAGAAGACCTTTTAAGGTCCTCTATAGCGAGAAGACCTTTTAAGGTCTTCTATGGACAGAACACCTTTCAAGGTCTTTCAAGAAGACCTTTTAAGGTCTTCTATAGACAAAACACCATACAATGTCTTCTATGGAGAGAAGAATTTTTAAGGTCTTCTATAGCGAGTAGACCTTTTAAGGTCTTCTATAGCGAGAAGACCTTTTTAGGGTCTTCTACGGCGAGAAGACCTTTTACGGTCTTCTATAGATAGAAGACCTTTCACGGTCATCTATAGATAGAAGGCCTTTCACGGTCTTCTATAGATAGAAGACCTTTCACGGTCTTCTATAGATAGAAGACCTTTTACGGTCTTCTATAGATAGAAGACCTTTCACGGTCATCTATAGATATAAGGCCTTTCACGGTCTTCTATAGATAGAAGACCGTGAAAGGTCTTCTATCTATAGAAGACCGTGAAAGGCCTTATATCTATAGATGACCGTGAAAGGTCTTCTATAGATGAAGACCTTTCACGATCTTCTATAGATAGAAGACCTTTCACGGTCTTCTATGGAGAGAAGACTTTTTAAGGCCTTCAAAAGGTATTTTGCAAATAGAAGACCTGATTGAGTATTCTCCTCTTAGAAAACCATGAAAGAACTTCTCTCTATAGAAGACCTAAACAGGTCTTCTCCCCATAGAAGAACTTGAAAGTCCTATAGACTGAAGACACTCAAGGCCTTCTACCCAGAGAAGACCTTGAAAGGTCTTTTGTCCATAGAAGACCTTAAAAGGTCTTCTGTCCATAGAAGACCTTGAAAGGTCTTCTGTCCATAGAATACCTTGAAAGGACTTCTGTCCATAGACCTCGCAAGGTCTTCTATAGACAGAAGACCCCTCAAGGTCTTCCATAGACAGAGTACCTCTCAAAGTCTTCTCTAGACAAAAGACCTCTCAAGTTCTTTTATAGACAGGAGACCTTTTAAGGTCTTCAATAGGTCAATAGACAGAAGACCTCCCAAGGTCTTCTATGGATAGAATATCTCTCAAGGCATTATATAGACAGAATATCTTTCAGGGTCTTCCATAGACAGAAGACCTTTCAAGGTCTTCTATAGACAAAATGTCATTTTTAGGCATTTTGGAACGGACGACCTCTGAGAGGTGCTTTAATGAGAAAAGAGCCGTTAAAGTACTTTTACAGCCAGAAGACCTTTAAGTACCTTTTATAGCCATAAAAGCCTGTTAGAAATCTTCTACCTTCTCTTGAAGCTTGTGTATCTCATAAAAACATTTTTATCGTCCTCTAAAGACCCAGTTTCCCATCCCTGCCCTCCATACACACTAGGAAGGCGACAAAGATCACCCAGCAATGGAAATATACCTTTGAAAAAAATTCCAAAGAATTATCATCCGTACGACAAGAAGCTAAGAAAGCAACTTTAGCACCACACAACACGTTCGTTGAAAAGAAATTTCGCCCAAGCCAAATGATCAGCTATTGATGATAAGTTAAATGGAGGGACACCTTCAAAAGGCATGATAGAATTTTAAAGAAAATAATTCAAGTGAAATTAAAATAAAAAAAGATTTTTTACAGCACTATCGCTGGAAGGGGTGTTTGGTTTTCAAAGCTAACAGAGATGATTATAATTTTCTCCAAAAAAAAAGGAAAATGACTCTCGACGAAATTCGAAAATTAAAAAAAAATCAGGAGGTCAACGATTTTTCTCTTGACAGTTCAAGGTCAAGAGATAAATCGATGACCTCCTGTTTTTTTTTTCTAATTTTCGACTGTCGTCGAGGGTCATTTGTCGTTCTTTTTTTATTTTTCTGAGAAAATTATAATTATCTCTGTTAAACTCCGAAAACCAAACACCCCTTCTGGCAATACCCTATAATTGGCACAGTAACACCATGTGTATGGCTAGCAAAGTACTCACACGTTTCTTCTCTTTTATTTTTATTTTTTTTTTTTTGTTTTTATACCCTACAACACTATGTGTTGGGGGTATTATAAGTTTGATTGGGCCAGAATTTATGTAACACCTCGAAATATTGGTTTCCCATATAGGAAAGTATATATAGATCTTCCTAGCTCGCCGAGCTGAGTCGATCTAGCTATGTATGTCCGTCTGTCCGTCTGTCCATGTTAATTTGTAATCACTCTACAGGTCGCAATTATGGCCCGATCTTCACGAAGATGGGGCTAGGGTCAGAATAGAACCCTATTTCTTTTGGAGATGATCGCCAAATTTTTAGGGGTTGAAATGGACCAAATACTGAAAAAATGTCGGATTTTGCAGTAGCTATACAGGTCGCAATTATAGACCAATCGACGCGGAACTTCGCATGTAGCTAGAGTTTAGGGCGGGGAAGAAGCCTACCAATTTGGGTGGTCATCGGATAATATTTAGCGGGTAAAATAGACCATATATTTTCTGTTGAAAAAATTCAAAATTTTTCATTAAACCGCGAATATTTTAAATCCCGGCGAAATCACAAAGCCATGACAAGGTTACTCCTGATCTTTACATTGATGTTAACATCCAACAAAACGGATATATAGCAAAAAATGTGCGATATATATGTTTATCAAAGAAGATAGGCTTGAAAAATCTCTTATATGTCGAGAACGGCTGAACTGATTTCGACAGTTCTCATTAATTCAGAATGGCCTCTTGGCAGGAAAGAAGAAACGTCTAAAAAATCGCATAAACATATCTCTCTAAAGATGAAAATATTGATTTTTTAAAAATTTTCTCATATTTTTTCAATTTTGTCATATTTTTGGCATATTTTCATTTTGAATTAAACATTTGGTAATATTTCTACAGCTAACAAAACTAAGTTGTTAGCATGGTACAATGAATTCAAGGTAGGGCAGAACTACCATATGATTTCAATTTTTTCATTTTTCTGGCTTAATATGTCAACTTAATTTGTTTATGTGTGCGTATTCTTTTCAATAATAAAAAATTTTTCAGAAAATATTCAAATTCGGGTGTTTTCAAAATGCTTATTACAACATATGCATCGAAAAAATCTACAGTTTTTGTCGCGAAATAAACCATAAGAGATATATAGAATATGATTTTGAAAAGAAATTTTGAACTATCATTCA